GGGGGGGGGGGGTGGAGGAAAATGGGCATCGAGAAGTGCCAAGGTGATGACCGCTTTCTGTGTTGCTGACCGAAAATCTTGCCCCTGAATCTTGTTTAGTGTGGAATATGGTGGTTGATGTGTTCCTGGCCGTGCTGCCGGCGACCTTCTTCTACAACATGGACCTGACGTGGAGGAAGAAGCTGGGGATCTCGGTTCTTCTCGGCCTGGGCTCCATGGCCGGCATCTGCGCGGCCATCAAGACGAGACAGGTTTGTGCGTCGGCGACACAATCCGACATGGCTTGTAAGTTATTTTCCCCCGGGGGGCGCGGCCAACCGATTCGATATGCTCACTCATTCACCCAAACAGGGGATTCCTTCAGCCTCTACGTCCTGTCCGGCATAGAGCTCTTCCTCATCATCGTCTGCAGCAGCATCTCGCCCATCATCCCCGTCTACGAACGGCTCTTTGGCCGCAACGCCGTCCGCAGCACCAACGGGTACGAACGCTACGCGTCCGATCCGGGCGCCCCGCCGAGGAGCGCCTCCACCGCACACGCACACCCTGCGGACGGGCGTTGCGGGAAGAAGATGGCCAGTGAGGAGGACGTCGAGATGATGGTCTCGCCGGGGTCGTGCGATGCGACGCGGAGGCACCCGAATGGGCAGCCGAATACGCTGTCCCAGCGCCTGCAGCGGGTCGATGATAAAAAATAAACCATCCCTTGTTGACGGGGGGCGAAACATGATGGCATGGGCATGGGCATGCATTGTGCCCTCTTTTTTTTTGGGGGGGGGGGGGGGGGGGGGCAGCGGAGGTGATTTCATCTTTCCCGTGCCTGGTCCATTTTCGTTCTTTTTTCCTTTCCCATCTCCTCGTCTTTTTTTTTTCTCAACTCGTGTCATTTTGCGTGTATGGTACGGTATGGTATGTATGCATGTATGGAGGGCTGCTTTGCTTCTCTGGAAAACGCGGGAAAGTGAGCAAAAGAGCAGGAGGCGGCGGCACATCTCCCACTCTTCTTCTTGTTTTCTTTCCTTCTTTCTTTCGTTCTTTCTTTCTTTCCTTTTTTGGTTTCTTTCCGATGAGCCATTTCCGATCTGCTTGGGTATGAATAAGCATGCCGTTGCGGGTGATGGGCGTGAACAACGAGGAAATGGCCCACGAAGGTGTGGCGTTTCGCGATGTCGGCGTGTTGTGCGTTGGCTTACCCTTGGCATCTTCAAGCTGTGGCATGATATGACATGGGATAGAAGGCCCCACTCTCATCAAAAGACACTTTGGCCGAGTGGTTAAGGCGATGCCCTGCTATCGATGCGTTAGCTGCCAGGCATTACATTCGTGTGCGCAGGTTCGAATCCTGCAGGCGTCGACCTTTTTGTTCTCTCCGTTGAGATTTTCTGTTCCCTTTTTTGTTGGGAAGCATGTGTGAGTGATTACTGATTTGTGCTGCTGTCCATTACGCGTCATGGCCAGGTGTGTTGAATCTTTCGCTTTCCTCCCTGAAGTACCTGTGAGCATTGTTGACTACGATGCAACTACATTCAAGTACATGTTCACCAAGGTCCCGGAGGTTGTGGGAAGTGAGCCCGTCGAGAAATCTAAGAAGATCAATAAATCAATGAATAAAAAAATAATAATAATGCGCGTCTTCTACTTTCCGAGCGCCTCCGAAGAAGAATCTGTTCCTGAACCGACAACCGGCGAGCGAAAAACGGCCCAAAGCCGCCGTCATCATGCAAAGCTGACCGAGCTCCCTCCTGGACACAAGAAGGAATCATATCATTCCACCCCAGCCCGTTCTTGTGCTTCGGCCGCGGAATCGGTACCTCGCAACATACATATAAAAGGCGTGTGTGCTGTGAGACACGCCCAAACCACCCCCCCCCCCTTTTTTTTTTTTTGCCCCTCTGTCACTTGTATTTCCCTCTCCAAGCGCCGCCAGGTAGAGAATATCTTCGCGGTGGGCGCTGGGCGGCAGACGGTGGACTGGACGACCGGAAAAGGGGGCGTCGTGCCCGGGCTGGAATGGAACCGTTTTGTGTATCCTTGTGCTTCCTGGCGGCGGCGCTCGGCCAAGCCCAGGTCCCGTTCAGCAGTGAATCCTATGATCTGTGCTGATTCCTTTTTTGCGCCCCTTTGTCAAGATCGGTGGTGGGCATATCGAACGACCCCCGAGGGGCGGGCGCTTTTGTCGCACCTCGAGTCCATCGCCCATTGGTCGGGATGCAGCCTTGCAGTCGCGCAGAGTCTTGTGGCTGTTGGCGGATCAGACACGTATAGAAGGGCTGAGAAAGAAACCCAGGAGACAAAAAAAAAAATGATGATAATGAAAACCGATGGATGCTGTGTAAACGGCCTCGGCGTGGTTGCTGCCGGGCTGACACAGCATGGATCAAGGAAGCGAGTCTGGAGAGTGGTGTAGTTGGTCATCTGCCCGGTCTCGTCTCGTTTCTCGTGTAATTGAGACACACAAACACATATATATGTTGGCTGCAAGACTGCTACCTCGGGTTCCGTTCCTGCATTCCCACGCTTCTCGTCTGCTCTGGACTTTCCCCCGGGCTAGCTACTCTTTGGCAAGGCGAACCCTCTGCTCGGCCACCACTCAACATGACCAAGGCTGCCGTTCTTCTGCTCCTTGCTGCCGCTGGCGGAGCTGTTGGTGCGGGCAAGGCCCATTGCGGCGGTGATAACTGCGCTCGTCAGGTCACCGGTACGCGTCCCGGCCTCACGCCTCTGTCTTCCCGCAGGGCCGACTGCCTCAGCTTCATGCAGTCGACAGTCGTCCCTGAGGCTACGTATGTTTGTCTGCTTGAGGGGGTGGGAGAAAGGGGGGGGGGGGGGCTCCGTGGCTCCGAATCATGCAGCTGATACCTTCCTGACAGGACCGTCACCGTCACCGTCACCGTCGAGCCCGACGAGGAGCCCGCGCCCACGCCCACGCCCACGACCACGGCGACAGGGACGACCACGTGCGGTGTCGAGTGCGGCGCTGCCTCCGAGACTCCCCATGCTGTCCCGGCGTATGCCTCTGCCTGCAAGCAGGACCGCAAGTACTCCTCCGCCTGCTCGTGCTGGGGCATCACTGCCGGCCTCACCACTGCTCCTGTTCCGACCGAGACGCGTACCGTGACCGTCACCCTCGACTTCTGCGAGGAGGACCTGTAGAAGACATGGCGGGATGTGTTTTCTGGTTGACTCGAAGGACATGTTTTCTGCTGTTGACTGCAGTTGCTTTGTATAGTAGATGACTTCATCGGCTGGGTGGCTATGGGCTGGGACGGGGACCGTTCATGGACTTGTCAGCAGGATATGAGCAAGAGACAAGACAGACAGACAGACAGACAGACAGACAGACAGAACACAAGAACGACGCCGGTCCAGTAACACGGTACTACACGCGCACAGACACACATACACAGAAAGAAAAACATGACAAAAAGACAGGTCGAGTCCTGAACGATCAGGATGGTCAAACACCTCCTTCCCTTCCCTCTGTCTTTTCTTCCGGGGCGTCACTTCTTTCGGTTTTTGTATAGATCTCAGTGTGGCTTTGCTTTGTCTACAGCAACTTGTGCGAGTTGTAGATTGCTTGCTCGTGCTTGTGTGTGAGAGAAGAGCACAACTCTGTCGTAAAACAGTTGTCTGCGTATTCTTGGCACCATATTTAGCGAGCGCGTCGCGTAATTTGCCGATCCTGTTTTCCTCCAGATGCTGCTTTGCCGTCTCCTCTCGCACTTCTCACCGCCGTCCACGTCGTCTTGTCTTGTCCATCGTGGTCTCGGGGCCCCCCGCAGATGGCAGATGCAAACATTCCAGTCCTGCCAGACGGGCGGGACGTTGCAAGGATGCTGCTCGGGAGGCGCCCGCATTCCGGCGCCCGCATTCCAGCGCCGCGTGGCCATCATCCAAATGTGTCGAATCCCCGGATTCGATTCGAGAACGTCGGGCTGTTGCCGTCCACGAAGGAAACGACAAGTCGCCCGAGTTTGCGGCCGATTGTCGCGTTCTTTTTTTTTTTTTTTGCCAGCTCCATGACCTCATGGATGTCGTCGGAGAGAGTCGACGAGCCACTCGAGTGGCTCGTCTCTCCCACACCGCATGGCCGGTCGACCTGGCAACCGATGTAAACAGACGCCCGCTGCAACGCTGCAAACCCCGGCCCAAGAGCCCAACCAACCACCTCGAGCCACACACATGCGGCATGCAGGCGCGGCAAAGGCAAGCCGGCCGATTTGACACTCACTGGACAAGGCTTTTCCTGCGGGACGGCCCCTTTTCCCCATCATAGATCATAGACAGCTCTTTTTGTGTATATTCCCCGTCTTCCTAGCTTTTCCAACTCCCGCACTCGGCTCTGCCCTCTCGACGTCTCCGCTTTGTTACATGCCTCGACGAAACAAGGGACCGCCAGAACCTCGACTTTGATTGAGACACACGCTGAACCTTCCTGTGCGAGCCAACAGACGCATGACAACAACAGCCTTGCCACCATGGATCGTGAGCATGCTGTAGCAGCCGGGGAACCGCACGTCGACGAGTGTGCTTCGAGACCGGATCTTGAGGAGCCTGCCTCGGCGGTGGATGCTCTTGGGCAAGTTGCCGACGAGGCAGAGAATAAGGCTGAGCCGCCTCGGCACGACGACTGTTCCTACCTCGAAGGGGAGCCGGATTCGGACTATCCTGGGCCGGCATCACGCAGAGAATCATGTCAAACGAGTGATTCCTACTCGGACCGTCCTCGCGAGTCATATGGCGGTGAGGCGGACGCGGATCTGAGCCAGATGTATGGTCATCACCATGGGGAGCGACACTTTGCCAACAGAGAAGACGCCGGCGACAGCAGCTCTCATCATGGACATGAGGATGACGTTTTCAGTGACAACAGCCCTCGAAGCTCAATGGGCTCGTTGCCAGAGTCGGACAAGCAGAAAATCTCGTCGCCCAAGCCTCGGGCTGCCCGGATCTCGGACATCCCACAGTCCGATCACGACGAGGACTTTGTCGCGACGGTTCGAGGCACGCCTCGCCCGCCCTTCCGATCACCGTCTTCGGTGCAAGCCCTGCAGATGACCTCGCCTCCTGCTTCTGTGATTGGGTCTCCGCGCTCGAGCCGTCGCACACCGAGACCATCCATCTCCAGGCTGGGCTCGCCCGGCGTGTCTGCCGTGTACTCGCCCAAGAAGACGCCGCCTCGTTTTAAGCGAAACACGCCGCCTCTGGTGCTGCTGCACGTTACCGTGATGCCTTCTCGCTGGCCTTGGGGCCGTGTCCTAGACAAGGCTCATCCTGGTGAGTTGAGTCCTGAGGGCAAGACGCTCTGGGACTCCTGGAGACAGCTGCAGGACCGCACGGGCGATACCGTCTCCGACCGGGGTGTCCTCCTGCCTCACCCTCAGAATGACTACGAGGTCCTGGAAGAGCGTTTGCTCGAAGCGTTGGAGCTGCCGTTGAAGCGCAGAGCCCGGATCCTCGAGTGCGGTCATTATCTGGGCCCGTCCAACGACATGGCCGTGGCCGATGATGTAGAGAGCGATGGTGACGACTGTGACGATGATGCGCAGTCGCCGCGCCAAAGTCTGGCAGACAAGACGCACTGGTGTACGACGTGCCATTCGGACATACGATACGATTCGCTGGGCACCGGCAAGGTTTTCCGGGTCAAGGTGTACGCCAGTAATGGCTTGATGCGCGCCGGTGCTTGGCAGGCCTGTTGGAAGGAAATGGAGCGCGTCGATGTCGAGCTGGAGCCTGTTGTTGATGCGAGTCTGCAGGAGGAGCTGGCCCACCTGGCTGCTCAGCAGGAGAGGATCCTGGACATGGAGGAGGAGGCGGCTGCCGATGCCGCCGCCGCCGCCGTCGACGAGGAGCTGCAGCGCAGGGAGGCAGCCGAGCAGGCCAACGCTTCATTGCCGGAGCCAGACACGTCGGCCGACCACCCTTCCACATTTGATGACCATCGCCAGACCCGAGACGAGGAGCGCCTCCGAGAAATATATGGCCACAGCCCTCCGCCTCACGAGGCTCACGAGGATCACGAGGAGACCGGCTCAGCTGTCCCTCGTCGACATGCCGAGTTTGCTGAGCAAGAACCCCTGCCTTCACCCTCGGCGAGAGCGTTCGAACATGGCGAGGCCCGACGCGAGAAGCCAAGAGCCATGAACGAGGACCCATCCCTGGCAGAACTGTTCCTCGAGGCAGTCAAGGTGCTCATGCGGGACCAGAAGAATGTCATGATCGCCCTCCTCAGTCTCCTGGTCCTGATGCTGGCCGTGAGAGGCGGCGGCGGCGGCAGCTCGCAGGATCGGTCCCTGACCGAGAATTACATGCTTATTCCGGACTCGATGGCACAGCAAGCATTGGCCGAGA